CCACAGCTCTGTCCTCTTGGTTTTCCCTTTCCCTTGTTCTTCCTTTTGGGAAGAGCTGTTCAGCCACGGCTCTTAGGCCTGGGCAGGAAATTTTAATTTTTCCAGTGCTGCTGAGAAGCCTTGAGCTGGCACTGGTCGTAGGTATTTGCCACACCTGTCAAGTGTCCCATACTTCCCTCACCAGTTTTGGGTGAGCGGGTAGGATCCACAGACAATGCATGCAAGAACGTATTGTTTCAACCTTTCCGTGGAGACATGCAGTTCCTTACTTCTGTTCCTATTCCGTGAATAGGCGAGTCATGGAGGATAAAAGTTTAATTAACGCCCTGTTGTGGGGTGTTTAATGGAATACACTGGATCTGTTCTCCCAGTTACATCGTGATCTGTTTTCTGGTCAGCTGGGTGGGTTTTATCATGTTTAGATCCCTCCATAAGAATCACAGCATGTTTGTCAGAAAGCAAATGTCAGTTGCTTTAACAGTCGTTTCGAATGAGTAAATGCAGCGCAGGTTTGTGTATCACAGAGCAGCTTATAAATTTGGTCTGCCCGTCGTGTTTGTTTCTGGAGCATTCCTTAGGTACATTTAAACCTAAATACAAAAATTCCCATCTAGTCTGTTGACTCTGCACATTTGGTTTAAACTGGACAGTGTGAGAAGGCGCTGCTGTCTCGCTGCCAGATACAAAGTATGCAAGGAATTGTGACCTGGCATGGGTGATGCCTTTTTTATTTATTTTTTTTTTCCATTCCTCCCCTTCCTCTGCCCCTAATTAGTGAATTACCTGAGAGAGAAGAAGGAGAAGGAGAAGAAACTCCAAACTTTAGCCACTGGGGACCACCACGGACGTATGTTCATATGGTTACGTTATTTCTTCCTGTTTACCTTATGTCTTTTTTTCTGTGAGCCCAATTAGTTCTCATGGGTTTTTTTTCTCCCCTCCTCTGCCAATAACTTTCAGGTACTTGTCTACCTTGGGCTTTCTTAGATACAGGGAATTTTTAACAGATGTTCAACAGAATTATGCCTTCTATTTATACAGCTGACTTGGGAAAGCTTGGCAGGTTTACATCGTGGATGACCTACAAGTTCTTGCTCATTTAATAACTATTAGGTGTGAACAATGCACATAGTGCTGCTGTCTCCTTTTCCATGGGTTCTCTGCTAAACTTAATGGCAGAATTCCAAATTGCCAAGCCAAGTTTTAGCCACATCCTCGTTGCATTGTTAACGTTTTTAGGTGAATTGTTTTTATGGTCCTAAGTAAAATATGATGAGAAAATTTAATCAGCTTAAGCTGATTAATATGCATCTGATACACTGAAGTCAGTGTTCAGAAATTTGTATGAAATGCTTCATTTTATTATTTGTCTAGCATACCACTTGCAGTATTTGCCATTTCCAGACAATTTGGTCAAACTGAAAGAGGATGAGCGTTTACTTGAAGACCTGCCTGTTTTACCCTAACTTTCTCTGAAATAAAAGCCCATCGGAAGGGCCGTGGGCAGGGGTTGGCAGCAGAATTTTGTTCTTTTTGTTGGGTGAGGTCTACTCAGGGTATAAAGCCACTTCTGCTGAGAGCGTTCTTAGGCTTCTGGCTTTATCCCTTTACTCTATTAAATCTTGAAAGACCAGAAGCTTATAAGTTTTTAAGGCTTTGCATTTGTAGTTTAAAAAACTGTTTCATGCTGTTAAACTACCGCATGTATTTTTTCAGTGTTGAGATCTTTAGAGACCCTCACGTGTCTCTTGGAATCAGTATTGTTGGTGGACAAACCGTCATAAAGCGCCTGAAGAATGGAGAAGAACTTAAAGGGATCTTTATCAAACAAGTTTTGGAAGACAGCCCAGCAGGAAGAACAAGGGCTTTAAAAACTGGAGATAAAATACTTGAGGTAAATGCAGCTAAACCTACCTTTTCATTTTAAGAAATAAAGATTGACTCAGCTTTGGGAGGAGGGAGGGACAAAATACCGCCACTACTTCATAAAGTATTGTCAACGCTGTGTTTTGAAAACTGAAAGAAACCCTTGATGTTGTCTTTTCTTATTTTAAGATCTGACTATGGAGCTCTTAACATTTTCCTCTATATTTCAGAAAAGATAGGCCCTCAGATACGATGAGGACATGGAAAAAAATTACTGCCACCTCCTCGTATAAATTAATAATAAGTTATAGCATACCTTTATAAGCATAAAATATAATATATGTAAGAACATAGACTCTTCATGCTGAAATTTGGACTGTTGTTTTGTATGTGTGAACTTGGAGTAGTTAGCAGTCTGCTTAACGACTGCTCTGGGGAGAATCCCTGATTCTGGCAGGTGCTGTAGGGGAGAATGCTATTCCCAGCTCTCATCTCTCGCTCCATGTTGATTTTTTTTATTAATATTTTTTAATTTATTTTTCTCCAAATGAACACTTCTGAATCTGGGTTCCTAAGCTTACAGTGCTGCTCTTGTATGTGCTTTAGGGTTGCGTGTGATGTTTTGAAAAATTAATTCAAGTCAGGTTTAGTTCACAAACAGGTGAAATCTGAAAGAGTTGTATTGTACCTACCATTTTGTTTAGCGTTCTCTGACAATCTTATTCTTTATGTTTTTATCTGGAAGAATTGCTGTGGGAATACCTACCATTTTATTTAGCGTTCTCTGACAATCTTATCCTTATGTTTTTATCTGGAAGAATTGCTGTGGGATCATATGGCCATCTTTTAATTCAGAATACTAAGTAATATACTTTTCCTTAAACCATCATGGAAATAGGCTTTAAAAATAATTTCTCTTGACTGCTTTGGTGCATTCCTCACATACGCTAATCTTCTGTGAATGTGTGTGACCTCTTGTAATGACTCTGTGCCAGAACCAAGCTACCTAATAAAAATAAACACTGTTTGTTAGGTTTCTGGAGTAGACCTGCAAAACGCTACACATGAGGAAGCAGTAGAAGCTATCAAGAACGCGGGAAATCCTGTTGTGTTTGTGGTTCAGGGTTTGTCTAACATACCAAAAGTAAGTTTATTTCTATTTTTATTCGAAAACTTATGGAAAGTGTAATATGCATCTTACTTTAAACTTGGCTAAATTTCTTTCAGTGAGTTCCATCAATTTTTGTATCCATCCTTTCTGTCAGAGTTTCTGCTTATAGACCAGGATTGATTGATTACTTGTCTGGCCTGATTTGAAACCTTGTTTCTCTGATGTAAATCGAGTGGGTGTAAATCTATTGACTAGGTGTTAATTCAGTTCTCCCACCTGTGTAATTGAGTCTGGCTCTCTGTATTTTGATTTGTTTGTATTTCAAAATCTAAAATTATACTCTTGTTATCCAAATGAACTAAAGTGTAATTAAAATTAGTCAGATTCATACTAGCAACTCCATGTAAAATGTGTCACCAAAGAGACCTGAAGTAGTTCATAGACTCTTAGAATGGTTAGGGTTGGAAGAGACCTCAAAGATCATCCATCACTGTCACTATCATCTATCCCAGATCATCTATCTGGGAGCAAGTTAAATTTAAAGCCATTCATGCATCTCCTTGTCTTCAAGACCAAGGCAAGAAGCCTTGTAACACCTTAGTAAGAAAAGGTATACAGTTCTGCCTGCCTTGAAGTACTTGCAAAATGCAAGTACTCCAATGCTTCCATGTACTTTTGCTGTAATTTGAGAAGTTAGTTGGGAATTTTGGTGGATTAGTAGACCTGCGGAGACCTTTTGGCAACTGTAGCTGAATCTGGCACAACTGTGTCTGTTATTTTTCCAGTGCTTCAGGGAGTCTTTCAAAATTCATTAAGACTTCCACCAGCTAAGCTGGGAAAGTGCTCAAGCAATGATGGCAAAAGTCAGTGATAGTAACTGAGTTGGCTCCCTTTCTGTATTGGCTTTTTCACAGAAAAGATAAAAAAAAACACCTGTTCAGCTGCATCTCTGAACCTTACTTTCCTAGTAAATCTAGGGAGATCAAGGGAAAGCTGGATAACTTGAAATTTGAGTTGTTTTGCTTTGAACTGTAGGCTGTAGGAAACTGGACATGCACAGACTTCCAGCAGTACTGAGCAGTCCCAACTCCCATTCACCACAATAAGATGCTGCCAGAGAAGTGGGAATATATTACAATTTGTGGAACAGTAGAAGACAGGACTGAAAAGGCACCCAGGAGTAGTAGCCATTTCCTTTTGTAGGGACCGATCTTGTGACCCAACACGAGGCCTTACTTTGCTTACACATCACACAAAACATTGCTTACTCACGCTTTGAGTACTTCTTTCTTTGAGCTTAAACTACTGCCTGCCACTGGCTGTGATCAAAATGCCCTAAAAGTTTCCCCTTGAACTAATAAAGAACAGCAAGGAGAAATATCACATGGAGGCTAAATGTGCTGTCTTTTGTAAGGTGTCTGTGTGCGTGGACACTGGTCTCTGTCTGAATAATTAAGAACTGACACTTCAGGAGTCCACGCTGAGCTCTATATCAAGGGTGTACATCCGTGTTGTTGACTTCAGAGTACTATTTAATTGAATGAAGAGATGGGGCTAGATATCCAACAGTGAGAAATAAAAATAAGTGGAGAATGTTTATAATTCAATAAATGTAATTTCAAACCTGCGCTGCAATGCCCTTCTACATGGGACAAAATGAAGAGTGCACTGGGTAGCTTCATTGTTGTCATTCCCTGACTTTTGGATGTTTGTTTTGTGGCTGTAATGCTCTTTCTAATGTGTGTAATATATCTGTTGGTTTTCAGGTGGCTTCTGCTGTACAGACTAAGGGAATCAATGTCAGCAAAGATCAGGATGCAGACAAGGAAAATAAGATTGAAAAGGTATTTATTCCATTCAATACTATACTCAAGTTTTACTAAATCAAATAGTATAATAGCATGCATTATAGCTCTATGATAATCTCCTGCGGAAGTCTGAAATGAAATTTGAGCTGGTTTGTTGAAATATCTTCGATTGAAGTAGTTTTTGCCAAATTTTTGCCAAATACAGGGCAGGTTTCTGACAAAATTTCTGTGGGTCTCCCCTGGGTGCTGAGACCCTGTACTTATTGCAGCTCTTCACTGGCATCTTTCTGGAAGTACCAGCTTTGCTCCACGAGGAGGCAAATTGATTCTCTTTGTTCAGTAGAAATAGAGAAATAATAACGTGTACACAAATAATATCCTTAATATGAGGCTGGCTGAAATTCAGTAAAATCATGTTATAGGATAATTAAATCTGCTAAGTCTCCTACATTTCCCATTGCTGTGTAAAACAAGGAAATGACCGAGTGATCTGTAGCTGGCCAGATAATTGTGAAGCAATTACTGCGCAGTAACTTTCAAACAACTTCACAGTGGATTTGAAAGAGAAAAAAAATCTGTTTGGTGCAAACTAGTGGATTTGTTTTAATCATTGCAATAAGGGAAAAATTTAATTTCTTTTTCCCAGCCAGATTTGCGCTAATGGCCTGGGTGTTTTCCTGTGGGATCTGCACTGGCTGATGGGTGTAGGTCAGGTACTTGGAGGGTGTCAGAGCTGGAGGAGCAGAGACAGAATTAGTGCAGACAATAACTTTTGCCCGGTGCGGCTTGACGTGCCAACTACAAATACGATGAAGTTTTCTTTTGATCCTACTCCGTACTCTGGTGTGTGGTGGATACCCGAGAAGGCCCTCTTGCGTCCAGAAGTTTTTGTAAGACTCCTTTCAGATCCTGTCACTTACAGAAGCTACGAGGCTCAGTTATTCAAAAAAATCAAGAAATGTGTTGAAGTCATGCCTTTGTGCCAGTGGATAATACTTATAATGAAGCAGTTACAATCTCCTTTTCTTGGTTTTGTTATCTGTATTTCTAATCTCCAAAGCACTCATCCTCTTGCAATGCGCTGCCTTTCATCTCCAGGACTCCAGCGTGTCGCGTTCCGTAGCGTTCGGAGGTTAAAGAGGGAGCCTAATCTTTTTCAAACCTTTTTCATCTATTGGTGCTGTAAACTGGTGGGAGGAATATAGAAGAGCTTCAGAGCATAAATATGTAGCTCCTTTTTAGCTTTGAACGTTGATTCACAAAGCAGTCATACTGTGCTACAGTAAGGGCCATCTCGGAGTCGGAAAGAGTTGCTATTAGTGGATTACTAGTCCACGTCCCTGTGGGGAATCAGTGATATTTCTAGTCCAGTCTTCAAAGTGTCACAAAGGACTTTGGTTTGAAAGCAGCCGCATCCAGCTGGAAAATCTGCCTGTTCCTGTATGATGAATTATCTTTTCAGTGCTGAAGGTTTTCTCTTATTGCTGTTTATCCTCCTCTATTGATCTGTTTGTTTAAAAATGATCACTTGAAGTCATTTATATAAAATCACTTAAAACAATTGAGCTTCTTGTAGACAAACCAGATATTAACGTTGTTTTGCTGACTGACTATGTAAACTGTGCTTTTGCCTCTGTTCTGGAAAGGGCTGTGTTCATACAAAAACGTGGTGTAATGGAGTTGCTCCAGCACAATTTACTCATCTGGGTTTTCAGTGGGCCAGGAGGGATGGGAGAAGCTTGTCCTAAGCCATAGCAAACTTATGCATCTCCTGTAATTTCACACAGACTTTCTAACAAATGTTTAAGGTCTTGAAAAGCCAAAGGGTCAACATTTAGACTCTGAGTTATTACTAAATTATATTGACACTGATCTGTCATAGGTATCTGAAAATGGGGTCGCAGGTTTTCCATCTTTACTTGCTCAATGGTGTAAAATGTGAGTCCTCTCCTCCTTCCTGGATCTTCTGGATTTTGCAGTTTTACCTGTGCTGGCGTCAAGCGAAAAGTGGGAGGTGTATTTGGTATATTGTATACTTTGAGGAAACAGCTGTCCTATTTCCAAGTGCTCTTCTTATACACTGTACCACTACTATTGGATTGAATTAATTTCATTTATTATTGTTATGCTGTCTTCAATGCAGCACTTCCCCTTTCTTAAGTGGATGGGATGACGTTTATCTTATCTCACAAAATTTTCTATGGAGTTTACGTTGCGGTTTGCTAGTTAGACTACTCTAAAATCTTAAGCCTGATTTTGTACAGAAATCCATATGCAGGTTCAGCTTTCACTGTACACAGTGAAAAAAGTTTTCTGGGTTTGATGTTTGGGTGTTGAGGCGTATTTCCCAGCTGTAGAAGAAATTAATTACGGGCATTCTGGTTGCTCTAATGGCATATTATACTCAGTGTTCCCTTTCTAAAGTGCATCCTGCTATTAGCAGTGGGGTTGCATGGGATACAGCTGGATGTAATTTATTGAAATCATGTAGCCAACTGAGGCACGATCCCGTTACTTGGAGCTATAAAAACAGTTGCTGGGACAAACAAGCGCCTATTTTCATTAGATTCAGAGCCTCTTCTTTATGCCTGCGATGCGCCGCTATATGCATCACTATAGGAGCTGCCTGTATTTATGTGAGGTAATAGAATTTTATTGGAAGTTATCATTTCAAAATCTTTTTAAAACTTAAGCCAAAATACAGATGAACTCTAGTGCTTAAATATTCGTAGATGCACTAAGAAGATTGAGTTTTTATTTTGTATTTAAAGATTTGGTTCTTATCAGTACCAGACAATTATGTTGTTGAGTCTCTGATAAGAAATAGGGTATAATTTAATGTTTATTTTTAACCCTTGACTGATGTTCACACTCTCATGTTTAAGATGATATGCAAGTATTTTGTCAGCAAGTAAATGTGCATACACAATTGTATTTTCTTTTTTTGATGTTCAGTGTCACTTCGTGTTCTGATTTCTTGCATTAAAACTGTATGCTACAGAATTCAGCACTGTAATTAAGTGCTGTGTGTGTACACACAGTGCAGTAGACAATAGGATAATAGCATTTTTTTTTTCTTGTGCAGGGTGGTTACAAAACATGTAACTATTTGTCTTTGAATCCATTAGAGAAAATACGGGGCTCCACCTCCAATGAAATTGCCACCTCCTTATAGAACACTTGAAAGACTGCATGCAGAGGAAGCTAACGTGGATGAAGAGGAGGATGAGGATGCTTATACAGAGAGTGAGTAGTGCCACAATCGTTACATCAGATTACATTATGGAACACAATCAGATTGTGATAAACGTATCTGCCGTTTATTGCTTGTGTTGTGGGAAGTAGTGCTCAGTGTGGCAATAGCCTCCAATCCTCAACACTGTTCTTACTGAGGGCTACTGACTTGTAACTTTGGTAGTCTTGTCTGCTCAGCCAGGCTCCTATAGCTCTTCTCTTCTGAAGAGATGTTGGAAGGGCTCTGTTTATTTTTAGTCTAAAAATATCTAAGCCATGTCTAGAGGACTTGCTTTGGCAGTGATGTCAGCAGTGAAGGGCAGATGTTGTGCTTTATTGTTGTAGTTGCAGTGGCAGTTGAGCAGACGTAGGTTGAGAACCACTGGTGCATGGTCCTTGTCCAGAAAAGCCTGGAGTTGATTTCAGGCAATGCCGTTCAAGCAAAATATTTTCCTTTAAAAAGAAAAATCTGCTGATTTATTGTTTCAGTACTCTACTGAAAATAGGATCTCCTTTTTTTGTAGTGTCTGTTATGGGAAAGGTTCTGCAAGTGTCCAGTTCTGGGTTTTGCAATCAATTATGACGATATGCACTCTGTAGAAGAGCAGTGACCTAAAGAGTAGGATGCAGTGCAACGTGAGAGCTTCCGGCAGCGTGACTTACATTCCAGCATTCTGTTGTATGCTTCGTTAATTACAACTTTAGATAAATTGAATGTTTTTATCTATAGCTTATCTTCCAGTAAAATATTTAGGAATACTAAAATTGCAGCTAGGAGTCCTAAATTATTTTCTAAAATTAGTTACCTTTTATTTTTTTCTCTTTACACTCTCTTGTACCAAATCAGCATAGATGTGGGGTCTTTGTTGGAGTTTGGTTTGGGTTTTTTGCTACAGTGATTTTTCTCATCATCTTGTGTCTTGGAGAGGTTTTTGTTTGCCCCAGTTATGGGTAAGTCAAAGCAGAAAGATGCTTTAGTAGCTTTTGACCTTGGAGTGACCATGGCTTCCATTCAGAGTGGAAGCTCCTAACTTGGGGCCTGCTGGTGGGAAAGCTCTTCCAGCTGCTCTGGCTGATTTCCTTGGCAATGGCGTGCCATTGAAGTCAAGATAATTAATGAGTTTGGTTGGTTTGTCACTTTTAGGGCTGCTTTGGTGGAGGCGAGAAGGATTTTGGAAGGTTGTTCTCATGGAAACAGCAATGGGGGCACAGGAGCAGGGTGTTCAGCTCTGCCTCTGTTGCTTTAAGGGAAAGCTGCGAGTTCTTGAACCAGCTGAGGTTTTTCCAGAACTCCCCCTTACTGAGTTTGGCTTCTCATCTGTTTGAAATATGCCACATGGTTACCTCAAGAAGGTTTTTCAGTATTTTTGTGGAGAGTAGTAGTCAGGAGGAGTGTTTGACTGCAGCTTCTGTGGATGTTGGATGGAGTGTATCTTGAGCTTTCAAACCAACTCTGTAAACCCCCAATTGTAGCAAACCGGTTTCAGCTTGTTATTGAAGTTATAATTCCCAGTTAAAGAATATATTTGATAAGTAGCCTGACACTTGAGTTATCTAATCAGGCTATGCCTCAGTCTGAGTTCTTGCTAGACCTAAGTTAATACTTTGTACAGAAATAATTTCTTATTGATGGGCTTGGTCATTTTTTCAGCTGTTCTGCCATCCCTGATGATATTGCCAGCTGGGTCTAATAGCTGAAAAGGTAAAGCTGCTTCTGATATTAAATTTATCAGTCCTACCAAATCTGGCAGCAGCAAGCAGATCTTTTCAGATGAATCTCCTTCTCTCTGCCCTTTTTTACTGACTGAAGTTGAACATTTTGCAGTAGCCATCTTTCCCATGAATCGTGGAAAATCAAGATACGCATTTTCCGTTTTATTCTTCCCCACCTCATTCTGTTTCTTTAAAATAAAAAACAGGCTAAGGAAGCTTAAACTAAGTTTTTACCTCAGCCCTTGAAGTAAAAAGCATGTTAGAAATGATCTAGCTGTACTTAATGATATTAAGCATCTTGGCAGCTGTGGAATGGGGTTTTAGAGAGTCTCTTTTCTGTGATCACTTGAAAAAACAAAGTTTTCTTTGTAAATTCCAGTACGTTTTGGGTTTTTTTTTGTGAACTGCTTGATGTTCATAACTTCTGTCCTGATTCTTGAGCAACTTTCTCAGAAATCTCAGTCCGGGCCAGTAGTTGCCTTTTTAACATGGTCCATTTGCATGTTCGTATGGGCCTATTCCTTACCCACTTATCTTACTAATTCTACTGGTTTTGTAACTTTAACTAATAATTTTCTGAGCATCATGGAATCATAGAATGGCATAGGCTGGAAGGGACCTCAGAGATCATCTAATCCACCCTCCCTGTCATGGGCAGGGACACCTCTCAACTAGACCCGGCTACTCAAGGCTCCGTCCAACCTGGCCTTGAACACCTCCAGAGAAGGGGCATGCACAACTTCTCTGGGCAATTTATTCAGTGAACAGATGAACTAGATTTATTGTCTACCTTATTTAGAAAACAAGGTACTTAAAAGGAGGAATTGTCAGCTCAGGTAAATTCATGTCATAGCCTCTCCTTCGTTCATTTGCTTCCCGTAGCTCTCAATCTGTGCCAATAGCATGGAAGGCCTTAGCAGGCGTTTTGAGGTGGGACAGCTGTTCAATCTGTCCTCTGGTTGTGCTCCTGATGGATTTTATTTTATTTTTCAAGCATTCTTATTAATGCAGCTGCAGTGTCACGAAGCTGCTCATCAATTTCTTTCATATTCCAGAAATTCTATACTTGCTCCACTAGACATTTTTTCTCCTCGCTTGTAACTTCTTTTGACCCGTGCTCTCATCTTTTGTCTCTGTGTGCTTCATCATTCCCCATACTGAAAATGAAAGCAAAGCATTGTTAGTCTTCCTGCCATACTTAGAAATTTTTCTTTCTTTTCTGTCCCATCCATACTGCCTCACAGTCTCCGTGTTTTGTCTGTTTTTCCCTTAAAGTAGCTGAATAACCACCTTTTGGTATTGATTTGATTTTCCCTGTGGGATCTAAATCCACCTGACTTTTGGCAGTCTTCCCTTTTATTTCTGCTTTTCCACCACTGAGACTGTAGCTTTCATTGCTGACTTGTAACAAACAGTCATATCTTGTAGATGTTCTTCCTTTTCTTCTCAAAGGTTGGTTTTGAGCCAAATAGGGTGAATCCTTGTTGGGAATAGAACTACTAGGTAGCTCTTGGTTTAGAGAAGCTCCAGACATACTCCATGTTTTGGTGGTTTCAAAAGTTTAAAGAAGTTCCAGATTATTTTTTTTTTCCAATGTATCCTCTTGCACCCAAGACTCTTAGTTTCCGACCTGCTTCTCTTTATATTTCAGTTTCATTTGAACTGTCATTACTTCCAATATTACTTTATAAATTCTTAAATAGTTTTTTTTGCTAGATTTTGAAGGCAAGTTGAAAATAGCATTTCTTCTTGTTTTATTTCTTTTTTTAGTGATGCTGTCAAATGCTGTCAAATATTTTATCAATATTCAACTCTAACCCTGTGTAATGTGGTTTTTGTTTACTCTCTGCTTTGACTTTACTGTTTTAAGGCTTTAAAATAGTTTTGTAAAACTTGTAGTGTGTGCATCTTGCTGCAAAAGGATCCTTCAAAATGCTTCGCCTTACAGACCTGAAAATGTTACAACATGGGTACGAAGTTTTAACTCCCCACACTAAAAACACCTCCTCCATGGCAAAGATTATTTTGGAGGAGGTCACTCTCCATGAAGAGCTTTTTTTAGGCGTCCCAAACCTTAAAAACAGCAGGTTTTGAATAGGATTTTTTTTTTTTTTGTAATCAAAACAAGTAAAAGGAGGGGAGAGCATACAAAGGAGCTATTTGTACTTGCAAGCAGCTGTGCTGCAGGCTGCATCAATAGGCATTGGTGTGTTTTCCTTTAGTGGTGGAAGGCTGTAGGTATGCACCAGGAATCTGCTAATAGACTAATGTGCACCCTGTTGTGGCTTATGGCTATAATGAGGGGTTAGTAGTAAAAAGAAGCAGAGGAAATGGATGGGCAGAGTAGTTTGTAATGGAATGTTTTGTAAGGTTTTCCTTGGGGCATTCATAACTGTACAATTTAGATGTACTCTTGTGATTGAGTTGAAGCAATCGTAAGTTGGATAGGAAAGACCTTAAAGACCATGATAAGAAAACTGTAAAGACCGTTATAAGACCATATAAAGACAACTGTTGAAAGAACTTGGAATCTTTAATTTCAATTTATATTATATTTTTTAGTAAAACCTTTTGTCTAGTTAGTTGACTGAGATTGATCCAGTTGGTTTCAAATAAGTTGAAAATAATAAAAATAGATACTAATAAAAAATTTTTGAAAGGTGGCTAAGATAATGGACTAGATACTGCTGTGCTCAGACTTCCTGTCTGCAAGGGTATTTAACTGTATCTAATAAGGGGATAATAATGCCCCCTTCCTCTCATTTTGTCTCTAGATAATATAGAAATCAATGAAGCTGTGAGAAAGCATAATGATTTATCTTCCTAAAATGCTTTTTGAGGAATGGTGGTTTCTCTACCAAAGCAAGAGATTTTAAAACTTCTCTAGTGTTTTGACTTTGCGTTCCCCGTTGTGATAAACCCATGGCTTGCGAAGGGTGCAAGAGGAGGGTGTTGAGCACACGTGGAGGTTGGTTCAGACAAACCCTGTGGTCGAGGTAGGGTTGAGTTGGGGTTAGAAAGTGCTCGGGCTCGTGAGCAGGATGCCATCATCGCAGCCAAGGCTTCCAGCAGCTTCCATCGTGTCAATGGTAACCGCACGCACGTGAGAGGATGGCGGCTTCATTGGAAACAAAAGATGAGAAAAAGGAATAGAGTTCAGTTGAGACTTTGGGGAAGGTATGGTCAAGTGTACGGGATGTGCAAAAACATGACCTCGGGAAGCGTCTGCGTACTGCTGTGGGCAAAGATGGGAAAACGATCATGGGCGCTTTGGAAAAACACCAGCGTTATTAGCAATG